CTCGGTGCCCTTTTCAGCTCGCTTGTCAGCGGATAGAGTGAAAGCTTTCAGAGCTTGTCTCGCTCTTTTCCAGCTGCGCAAACATGTTCTCTTCAGATCATGCCTGCGATTGCTGGGGCTCATGGCTTCAGCCATCCTGGTCGTACGACTGGGACGCTTACACATGAGGGAGTTTCAGCGCTGGGTGGCAACCCTAAAACTAAACCCCGCGCGGAGAGTGATGGTTACTGTGAAATGCGTAATGGCACTGCGCCACTGGCTGCACCCGACTTTTCTAGTACGAGGTGTGCCTATGGGTGCTGTCCTTTCACGGAAAGTGGTCACCACGGACGCATGTCTGACAGGTTGGGGAGGTATTTATGAAGGTCGCCCGGTGAGGGGTCTCTGGAGCAGAGACCTCCAGCGGGCGCACATAAATTACTTGGAGCTTTTAGCGGTGTTTCTCACCCTAAAACGCTTTCTGCCTTTCCTCAGGGGACATCACGTCCTTGTGAGGACAGACAATACGACCACAATATCGTATATTAACCGCCAAGGGGGTTTGCGTTCTCTCCAGTTACACACACTGGCGCGCAAACTGATCCTATGGAGCGGTAGACGTCTCCTGTCTCTGAGAGCGAAGCACGTACCGGGAGTGATGAACCTCGGGGCAGATCTACTGTCCAGAGGTATACCACTTTATGCAGACTGGACTCTACATCCAAGGATTGTGAGCCAGCTGTGGGTGCGTTACGGCAGAGCCGCGGTGGATCTGTTCGCATCGAAAGACAACGCTCAGTGTCAGCTGTTCTTTTCGATGCGCGATCTAAATGCACCGTTAGGCGTGGATGCACTCGCGCACAATTGGCCCCCGGGCCTTCTGTACGCGTTCCCACCCCTGGCTCTGATACCCCCAACTCTGGCCAGAGTGAGAGAGCAACGCCACACACTTATCCTGATAGCTCCGCACTGGCCAGCTATGTACTGGCTAGCGGAGATATATCAGCTGCTGTGCGGGCAGCCATGGCAGCTCCCACTACGCAGGGACATACTGTCCCAAGCGGTGGGGGGGGGCGATCTTTCACCCACACCCAGAGCGCGTGGCTCTATGGGCCTGGCCCGTGAGTGGTACAATCTGAATACAGTGTGACATGAAGCTGACCCTGGCAGCTGCCAAGCGAGCCAGTGGCACTCATGCACTATCTGTACAGTCTTCATGCACTCAGTTCGCCCCAGGGCAAACAGAGTGTGGTTGAAGCCTGACCCTGCCTTTATCTTAAGGCGGTTGGTTCAGGTACCACATTTGACATTGAGGCATCCTCCCCGCCACTGTATTCTTCCGGGTAACAGCGGCCGGATTTGCGTGTCCAGCCCGTGCTTTACGCACGTACAGGGACAGATCAAGGGTGCTTCGTCATAATGACCAACCCCTTGTGTCCTGGGCTAACCCTTATAAGGGCAAGCCTGTTACTAAGCAACGGCTCTCCCACTGGTTTGTGGAAGCAATTGCTTTGGGGCTCATACGAGTCAGAGTTCACAGGCACCCTCGGGTCCGCGAGCTCTTTCGACTCAGGGTCTGGCTGCATCCTGGACTCTGTCCAGGATGTCTCCTGTTGGAGATTTGGAGGGATAACTGGTCCGCTTTTCAAATCTCCGCGCGTTCCTATGAAGCTGGTTATAATACAGGAAGGAATCCATAGCTACAAAGTAACCGTTAACAATAATCTACTTTAATGGCAATATGACAATGCAATACAATCATTACAATACAACATGATATATTACAGTTATATTGCAATGCTTAAGGAGTAATGCCGGCTTACTCCTGCTCTAGTCCGCATACTACAGAGCTACTTTCACCCGAGGGCAGCATGTGAAGAAGAGGCCGAACGCCAGAGATCCACCGGAGATATACCAGAGTAAGAAGGAGGGGTTTGGTGTTAGGTCAGCTGGTCATCTTTTCAGGTCATCTCATTGGGAGACGCAACGCAGCAGGAAACCAAACAGGCTCACTTTCCAACAAAAGGTCTCAAGGCCTGCATACCTACACCTCCCCCACAGAGCCATAAAACCCTGTTTACTCCAACCAGCCCAGAATGTTTATAGCCATTTGTAGTCCTTACATTTATGAAAGGATAAAACAGAGAAATCAATATAAAACACAAACACAGGTATTGTTTGAACAGTATTCACTTAACTGCTACTATTGATAAGCACCAGAGAAACCCAAGAGACCTCTCTTAACCTCACAAACACTGCAGCTAGATCTAAGTTGAATGCAAATCAGGACATGCTCTCCCCTTCCCCCATCTTCTTTTGTCCTCAAAAACACATGTCAACAGGCCCCAAATGCAGCTCACAGTTTTACCCAAATTATTCTCATTTTAAGCTTATCCATAGTTTGCTAACATGAATAAATACAAATATAACTCTACACTCCACATTGGTGCAGCGGCGAGCTGGTCCTCGCCGCTCACTTTTGTCCGCCTCTTAACAGGCTGGACGTTCTGCTCCCAGTGTTACTCAAGCAGTGCTGGGCACCTGGTTGAGTCAGAGCTCTACCTGTTAAGTTCTGGTTGGTTTGGTGATTTTCGAGATAAGCTCGTCTGACAATACGGGAGCTACAATTTCCCATAGTGAGACATCGAACGGAGTGTTATGAATGAGAACTATAGGTTACTTACGTAACCCCAGTTCTCAGAGTAACATGAAGTGAGATGTCTCACCAGACGGCCCTCCTTGCTATGGTGAAGCGAGAAGAGGTGCTTATTTTGAATGACGCATGCGTCGTGGCGCAAGCTACTTATAGGGGGTGAATTCCCTGACGCTGATGTCAAGATCACCAGCCAATCAGGATTGGCGTAATGAGATTGATGCTTCTGTTTGCTCCGCGATGAGGCGCATCCCATAGTGAGACATCTCACTTCATGTTACTCTGAGAACTGGGGTTACGTAAGTAACCTATAGTTTCTCCTGTGTTATTATTCAAAGTTAATGTAAACTTTCGAATAATGTACTTTATCTACTATAAGTAGTTTGTTTGAAAAATGAATCTGAACTTTCGATCTGTTACGATTATAAACTGAAGCAATATAAAAATGAGCCCCATGAACAGAGTTTTAAACATCATATCCGGTCATAGTCCGGTAATTACCTGCTAACGGAAACTCTGCTACACAATTCTTATTATTGAAACATGACCGGCTAAGTTTCAAATTTGTATGGTAAAATAAATTATTTCCGGACACTTGACCGGCAAGAAAAGATCCTAGCGGAAACCCTGACGGCCCGTCCACACAGCGGCGTGCGTTGACGCTTGCCGGCGGGCGTGTCTGACACTCGACCAACAACCAACCACATGAATCTCCCGCCCCAGACACACAAGCACACGGTTTGATTGGTAGAGCTTGTACTGGCATATGATTCCATTGGCTGACGCCTCCGTCGAGGCGTCAAAAGTTGAACATTGCTCAACTTTTGAAGCGAGCAACGCCAGCAACGCTCCACGTCACTTCCTAAAATGCAGTTCGGCTAAAAGTGACGTCACCCCATTCAAAGTGAATGGGCAGAAGCGTTGGAAGCTTCAACGCACGCCGCTGTGTGGACGGGCCGTGACACACACATACATACACACAGTACAGCCCCTGAGTTGTGTGAGCATGTTTGTATATGTGTGTATGCAATGATTGATATGTTTCATTGTAAATGCTAGATTTAAGTTTAAAGAACAAGAAAAGAGAACAGTCTTGTTGGAGCTGACACTGAACAATAACACACACACGCGCACACACACACACACACACACACACACACAGAGCGAGAACGAGAACAAGCCCATATCTCACTATTTAGGCTCCAGGAGAGGTCCTCTTCCTAATCCCTGATTAACAATATCAGTCGGTGGTGACAGTTTAATTTAACACAGTGCCTCTCAAGGATTAGCTGCTACATGAGGGTGTGTGAGTTTGTGCACACGCCCACACACAGCCACTTACAATTCCTCTGCAGATTAAAGATCATGCTTATGTATATTTCACTTTAGAATAGCCACTGAGGAAATAAGATGATAATACTTGCAAAAACTATTTTCTGCAGCACAGCGGGGTTGATAATGAGAAAGGGGCAACGTCACATAGGTTGAGGGATTGCCTAATAAAGGTAAATATTAAAAGTTTGTGGCGTGATGAGGAGCAAAAGTTTATGTTTTGGATATCGTTTACACCAGCATACTATTTATCCCTCGCCCTTAGGCTGCCCTAGGGCCTAACAAAACTCTGCAACTGACCCACATTTACCACAGAGGACAGCTTTTTAAAAACAATTAAAGCCATTGAATTTATTTACATAGACATGAAAACAAAACAGTGTGAGTTCTCCCCTGGAACAGGAGCTTTTAAACTCTTCCTACCCCAGATAGGTGCTCCTTGTTGAGCAATTCATACAACAACACAGGTAACACATACAAATGTAACAAATGTCAAATGTGAATTTTTCTCATCATTTGGTCGTGTGTATGTAGGTCCTTTGTTGGTGAATATGTGTCTGTTTGTGTGTGTGTGAACATGAAGATACGAGGATGCTTTCAGTGTGTACCATGTCTAAACCCTGCAAACAAATTCAATTTGAACTGAGATCAAACGGAGAGAGTGTCGTCAGCAGTTATAATGAGCATGAAGTGATTTAAATGGTTGCCGTTAGCCAGTATTCAATATTTCTCACAGGCCATTGTCTAATAAATATTATGAATATATCAGGTTGTCTGCAGGACCAGTGAACGGTTGGGAATATATTTAAATTAGAAATCAAGTGTAGTTATAAAAACGTTGTTACATAACTGTTAGAGATCAAGTCACCATTTCTTCATGTCAGTTTTTAAACTTGAAACTCTATTAACTGTGTGTGTGTGTGTGTGTGTGTGTGTGTGTGTGTGTGTGTGTGTGTGTGTGTGTGTGCGTGCGTGCGTGCGTGCGTGCGTGCGTGCGTGCGTACGTGCGTGTGTGTGTGTGTGTTTCTCTTTCCAGTCATCTGCCTGGTTGGCCTTGGCCTGGTGGTGTTTTTCTTCAGCTTCCTGCTTTCCATTTTCAGGTCCAAGTACCATGGGTACCCCTACAGGTAACTATAGCAACCATACAGTACCACTGTACAGATGCTCACACAAGTTTCACCCAGCTTACTCAAACACAATATACAATGAATCTTAAAGTCACTAAAGTTGACAGGAAATCGCTGGGAAGTTATTGCAGACGCAGGGCAAACATCCAGGCCAAAAGCGGATCCATCCATTCCCATTATTTCATTGATCCGTAGACAGCTGTTCGATTGGAAACACCGCCTACAAAATTACAAGCCACAGCGCCATTGTTTTTTTTTCTCGAGAGCAATGTGCCAAAACTTCAACTGAGATTTGCAGTCTGACTTTGTTGCACTGAATATTAGAAATCATGGATGTTTTTCTTAGGTCATCATACAGTAAATGTGTTCAGATACTAAAGCGCTTCAGCTTAGTGAGCTAGAGCAGCAGCAATTTGGTTCCACTTTGAACTAAAGGTCACCACTACATAAAATAAGATTTAATGTGTGACAGAAAACACTCTACAAGTCCTCAGAGCCTGGGTCCAATTCATCGCCAATGAAGCAGCTGTAGGATATTACAGCAACACCAGAACGGCTCCAGCTTCACTTCTGGAGCTGGAAGTGATTTGTGATTTTGCGGGCACTTTACCGAGGCATATCATTTACTATCCTGGGGGCTTTAACCCTGTTGTGGCTTGGAATTGGACCAAATTACACTGTGTCACCTCAGTGGAGGGGCTTAAAGTTCAATGATTGTTGTTGAGTGACTTTGATAGTGAGTTAAGTTTTGGTATGAAACTGGTATTGCCTTATCTTCGGTTCATAAACTAGTTTTCTTCCAAATATCCCAGATGACTGTCATGTGTTGACAATACGGGGGTCGTCAATTACAGCACATAAATTTAACCCTAAGATTATTAATCATTTGTTACTTCATCAGGAATCATTGAGTTATAATCACAAGACACTAAGATATCCTCTAGTTTACACTAGCAATTCATTGGAAATGATTTATTAGAATTGTACCGATCGAAGAACACCTTAATGGTTCTTATAATGGCCAAATTACAGCATTAATTTCAGGAAACCTTTGGGAAATTATTTAAAATTTAGAGGCTCATAAATTAAAACATAAAACCTTCAGTATTTGAGGTATGAATGATTTGAGAGAGCCTCTTTCTTCTTTGCTGCTTGATACTGAATGTATCCAAACAGAATGTTAAATGAGATTTTTTGAGCAGCTAAGTTGTGGCTGTTTTTTGAGATAATACAGCCGGTTTAAAACCCAGAAGTACTTTTATTAAATATTGTTTCATATTAAATATTAAATATTTGGTCAGTTTAGCAACACAAACTATAATAAGCTGTCAGCATCATCTCAGAATTGTAAAGACAGGTCTTCAGGAAGCATTTTTTTTTGCAATTTGCCTGATTACATGATTCTAGAAACAGTCATCTACATTAGCCACAGTTTTTAGTTTGTTATGGTAGCCTCTGCAGGAAAAAATAACTCCCTATTATCTTCTTGTTTCTCCTCTCTTCTCTTCTCCCTTTAATCCTATGTCTATTAGCTTCCTTATTAAGTGAAGAAGAAACCTGAAGAGGAGGTCAGAGAATGGTGAGCATTCGGTAGTTGAAGAGACAAGGAGTTGAAGATACTTGAAGAGGAGGCAGCGTCAATATTCAATCTGGAGTTTCTTTATTTAGTGTGTTCCTCCTACCATCACATCTGCAAGTTGAAAATATAATAAATTATTAATTCTTACACTGGAACATCAAGGTGTTTGACATGTCTTTGTATTTTGTCTTTTTTATTTTTTAGTTGTTGAATATCCTGTGTGAGTAGATAATACCTGTGTCTGTGGAATGCTGTTTTGTATCCATATATTCGATGTTATTTATAAAACCTGTGTTGCCGGTCAAAAGAAGCAGCCGGTTGGAAAGATGTGATGAAAGTTAAACCGATGGACAGATAATTAAAGTTCCTTTGATTAGTTATTAGAATGGCTTATATTACCAGTTACAAAGTGACACTCTTTTCATGGTGCGGCTAGTTTTAAATTGATAAAGCTAAAATATGAATGTCATTTATCACACAGGTCCAAGCTACTTCTCTATTACACTGCATGTTTACACCTTTTGGTCTTAGACTTTACATTTTTCGGACCTGGACCAAGTTATTTTCCCGTCTTCAGCCTATACTTTCATTAGGCATCTACATTTGCTTGCATTTGGGACCGAATGTCAAAGGAAATACATGTTCTCAAAGTTGTGAATGTTAAACAAAGTCACGGTCTTACTTTTTCTTTGCACTAAATGAACATTTACTTTTTCCCCTAACCGACACTGATCTTAAATCCCTTAATGCAAAATAGTAGCTCATGAGCTGAGTTTACAGAAGGCCAAAAGCAAGTGATGTAACCTTTCTTGCAGAATGTGAGAAGCATAGGTCATTTAGAGAATACATACATTTCTAATTCTATCACTTGTGGACTGCCCACTAAAACACTGAGTGGGCTGGAGCATTGAAACCATTTATGTAACCCTTCTTTGCGTGGGCTGTTGCAGAAATGTATCTGCAGATAGACCAGTTACCAAAATGTAATAAAAATATTCCCTTTCAGACTCTCCCAATTTTGAGTGAACTGTAATAAAACTGCAAAGCCCTTTCAGATGTTGCTCCTTGTCTTGCTGTTTCATACAGTAATTCATCGGGAAATAATGAACCTTTTTTAAAAAGCTAAATATTCAGTTGGCTATTGAACTGTTAAATAGTGTGTTTGAATGTGCCACTACATACAGGAAATAAAAAGAAGACAAAGGCTGCCAAGAGCTCCCTCCTATTTTTCTGCGGAGAAAGTATATATAATTAGGATGACAACGTTCAACAAGATAGTAATAAACATAGCCCCCTTGTAAGAGATGAGAAATAATTATAGGTTGTAGCACCTGCCCTCTTTATGCTTGGTAATGACGTCCTTACTTTGAGTGGGTAATAAGATATACAGCCTATTGATCACCCCAGAATAATGTTTTTTGTTTTGTTTTAGGATATTTTAAGGCAAAGATAAAGGAGTTAAATATATAAGAATGAGCAGAATTTCCCATCTGTTTCCCCTCAATTGTTGGCCTTTACGGTTGGGAGGAGATAAGCAGAACAAATGTCACCTTCAGGGAGGGATACAGTAAGTATTGGCAAATGGAGCTAAATCAATGTGGATTAGATATAGGGCAGCTGTAGAACAAAAGACATAATGACATATAGAATAATCTCCACTGCTTCAAAAAGTCACACTTGCATGCTAATTTAAGGCACAAATCTTGTAAAACTAATTAAAGATTTGAATTAGACTGCTTGCCACTACTAATGTACAAAGTGTAATCCTTGTAGGCTGTCTATAAATTGATTAACTTTTATTTATTTATATAGCATGTGAATGCTAGTTTTGCAATTAAGAAAATATACTTGTAGAGTCACAGACTGAGCAGGTAACATGAAAGCAAATCATGGAAACACTTTATTATAAGTTAGATGTATCCACCCCTCTAAATACTCTTCCTGGTATGTAGGATATTGAAGTAAAAAAAAAAAACCTCCCTCCCCCTCCCCTGCTACAAACTGAGCTTGCAATTTAGATTGAGGTGCTGTAACTTGTGTTTGGTGTGAATTAGAATTTAAGGGAGGTCAGATTCCCTCTATGAAAAACTCCAATAAGAGGTATTATGCATAAAACTGAAAAACCCAATTACAGATGTATTAAAATATATAAAAACTAATTGTCTCTTAGATCTTAACGGAATAAATGTATCTTATTTTGCAGCAGATGTCTGTCTCTGATGTAAAATCATGTTTGTATTTACTAGAATCGTCATAAAATTAAGAAAAGTCAAATAGAAAAATTAGCGTTTCATCACATTTGATAAAGGAATATATCACATGTTCTATTATTTAAAAGGCATACCCAAAAAAACGTCATAGTGACATTTAGGGATAACGACGTTTTAGGAAATAAGTTATAAAAGTATGCATCATGAGGGGGATTTGTTTACATGTGTGATTAAAACTCACCTATTATGTTATATTTGAACAATATATTATAGGGCCATATCTATACAAAACATGTTTCTGAAGTGTTTTGCTCAAAATACCACAGATCACCCACTCATATTTTAGCCCTGCTACAGAAGTGCTGATTCTGGGACTGGCCCTTAAGTGTAACCGAGCTGCTGCTGGCCACGCCCCTTTGGAGTGTCTGCATGCAGGCAGTGAGCTCTGTGAAAAGAAGGCTGTCTACTACTCTACCAGCAGAAACTCAGCTAAACGCTGCCGTGATTTAACTCCATATTATGTTCCAAACAACATCAAGCATTATTTCTGAAACAGTGTGGAGCTCAAACGCTTTCTCTCTCACGGGTTTATCACAAGGTGAGTACCTTTTATTTCAAATAAAATCAAGTTTAATTTATATAGCACATTTTTTAAACGATTTTTGGTCGAGCCAAAGTGCTGTACATACAGTAAAAATACTTTGCAGTAAGGACACTTTACAACAAATACAACAGCACAGTTTGTGCAGAATATCAGTATGAGAAAATGACACCCTCTGTCCTTAGACCCTCACATCGTACAAGGAAAAACTTCCAGAGAAAACCCACAGTTTAAAGGGGAAAATGGGAGAAACCTCAGGGAGAGCAACAGAGGAGGGATCCCTCTCCCAGGACGGACAGACGTGCAATAGATGCCGTGTGTAAATCGAAGAGATAATACATTTTACAACGTAGGTAGACCAAATGTTTGGAAATGCATGTGTCTGTAATAAGAAGATGAATCCACAAGGATGTCAGCTACAATCCTGTGGAAGCCATCAGGGAAGCAGCATGACGAGACCCAAGGCAGGACCGCAGAGACAGGTTCAGCCACGACCCGAAGTCCACGACTTAATCCAGAACTCAGGATAGAGGATCCAAGACACAGGACTACAGCAAGAGGATCAGCCTCGACTCCGGATCCCGGCGTAGATATAGATACAAAACAAGAAAAAAGATTTGGCTGGGTTAATCGGAACAAGAGAATACACAGACACAGACAGAGAGGGAAAAGGTCATTGGATCAAAGTTATCCTTGATAACCCTCTTGAAAGATCTCATGAACTTCCCCACTCAATCTATCAAGACCCGAGCAGTTCTATTAGATATAGGATAAGAAACAGAGATAGGGAGCACAACAACCTATCTCTTCGTCAGATGCACTCCCCCGCTTATCTAAGCGACTCTGTACCCCGTTACCCTCTACAAGGCCATAGACCAGCAGAGGGAAAATGGGGGGTGGGTAAGGGTAAGGGTTTTTAAGAATAAACCGCAAGGGTCTAAAGGGAAAAAAGATGAAATATAAGGTACTATATTTTAAGTAATCCTATCTACTATTCCTATATTCGAATAATGTATCAACTATTTTAAAAATACTTTATGAAATCCTATGTTATGTTATAAATATTAAAATAAAGAACTAAATAAATGAATAAATAGATAATTAAACAAAAGCCAGAGAGAAAAAGTGAGTTTTAAGTGTTGATTTACAAAACCCCAGGGTCTGGGCCGACCTCACATGGAAGGGCAAAGTATTCCAGAGCCTAGGGCCAGCCGCTGCGAAAGCTCGATGCCCTCGAGTTTTAGGCTGATCTTAGGCACTATCAACAGCAGCTGATCAGCTGACCTTAAGGCTCTGCCTGGGGTGTAGCGATGGAGGAGTTTGGCTATATAGGCAGGAGCCAGCCCATTTAGGGCTTTGAAAACAAATAAAAGGAATTTAAAATCTATTCTGAACCGAACTGGAAGCTAGTGCAATGAAGCCAGAATTGGGGTGATATGGTCGCGCTTTTTATGGCCAGTGAGAAGACGTGCAAGCAAGGCGTATAATTGAGGCCTGGTCCATACCCACATACAGAGCATTGCAGTAATCCAGTCTCGAGGTAACAAAGGCGTTAATAACCCTTTCTAGGTATTTAAAAGATAAAAACGACTTGGTCTTAGCCAATAGTCGTATTTTGAAAAAGCAGGTCTTGACGACAGTGCTAACCTGCTTATCAAATTTAAAGGCGCTGTAGAAGGTCACTCCAAGGTTCATGACACAGGGGAGGATATTTTTATTGAGGGAGCCCAGAATATCAACCGGGGAGACTGTTGGTTGGGGTCCAAAAAAGATGACCTCGGTCTTGCTCTCGTTGAGGGTGAAGAAGTTTTGGCTCAGCCAGGATTTAATCTCTGTTAAGCAGTCCTTCAACTGCTGTAGTGAGTTGGCATTTTGATTGAGAGGCAGATAGATCTGTACATCATCAGCGTAACAATGGAAGGGGATATTATGTTTTGTGAGAATTTAAGCTAGGGGCAGTATGTACAATAGAAAAAGGATGGGGCCCAGAATCGAGCCTTGGGGCCTTGGGGAACTCCACAGGTAAGAGGGGTCAAGAGAAGGCACCTAACTGCACTGAGAAGCTACGGTCCGTCAAATAAGACCTGAACCATGCAAGGGCAGAGTATGTAATGCCTGCGGACTGTTCAAGCCGTGACAACAGGATACTATGATCCACAGTGTCAAAGGCAGCAGTTAAATCTAACAGCACCAAGACAGCTGGGCTGCCTGAGTCGGCGGCTAAGAGCAGATCATTAAAAACTCTTAAAAGGGCTGTTTCAGTACTATGCATAGGTTTAAAGCCAGACTGAAACTGTTCATGGATGCCATGCGTGGTTAAAAATGACTGCAGCTGGGCGTAGACTACTAGCTCCAGGGCTTTAGATAAAAAGGGTAGCTGGGAGATGGGCCTGAAATTTGCGAGAATGGAGGGATCGAGATTTTTCTTTTTAAGTAGTGGCTTAACCACGGCATGTTTGAAGGCAGCTGGGACACATCCTGAGCTAAGAGAGGTGTTTACAAGCAATAAAACACTTGCTCCAACTGATTCAAAAACATCTCTAAGGAAGCGAGAGGGAATGCTGTCTAAGGTGCAGTTTGTCGGCCGCAGGTGCTTGACTACATCCGAGAGAGAAGAGAGGGATACAGGCTCAAAGTGGTCGAGGACAGCAGGGCACAGAAAGGGAGCAGGATCTGGGGTAGCACTAGTATAGGCTAGCCTACGAGCAGATACTTTTTCGATAAAAAATGTAAGAAATGTATCGCAGAGAGTAGTTGATGGCACAATTGGAGAAGCATCACAAGGATTAATGATTGAATTGAGGACATTAAAAAGAACTTGAGGTTTATGGCTGTTTTTGGAGATTAACAGAGAAATATACTCTGTTTTGGCTGCTTTGACTGCCGTCTGATAATCGGAAAGGCAAGCACGAATAATTTCTAAGGAGACATGAAGTTTATCCTTTTTCCATTTTCTCTCTGCACGCCTGCAACGCGTCTAAAAGCACAAGTACAATCATTGAGCCACGGCTCTGAGAGAACTTTGTTGCGTAAAAGGAGCAACGGAATCCAGTATTAGTGTGCATGTCGAATTAAACAAAGAGATAAGCTCATCCGCACTAAAAGCACAGTTCACCTCTAATTTACAAATCGGATAAGTATTAAAAGTATCTGAAAACTGTGAGGCAGTCAAGGGGTTAATTGAACGCAGACATAAGACATATACAACTGCAACGAAAGTAACAAACACAATGATTGATATATTTTTCAATTTCAAAGAACACAAATTGGGTTACATTAACAAATAACTATAAAACAACAGCCCTGCGCGGGCCGAATATTTGAATATTCGCTGCTGAAGCAGCGTTCAGTTATTATGCTCCAAATATCTGGAACAAACTCCCAGAAACCTGCAGGTCCGCTGCAACTCTGACTACTTTTAAATCCAGGCTGAAGACTTTACTTTTTGTCGCTGCTTTTAATTGAACTATTCATATCTTAGACTGCACTGTAACTTTGATCCATGTACTTTTTCTTTTAATGTTTAATTGAACTATTCATATCTTAGACTGCACTGTAACTTTTATCCATGTATTTTTTCTTTTAATGTTTATTTTATTAGCTTTTCTTTTTAATGACTGTGACGAAGGTAACTTCGTCACTGTGGACGGATGGCTTCGGGCCTTGCATGTGTGCACATTTGTATACAATTTATACTATTGATTGATGTAGTGTTTATTGTATTTTATTTTGAAATGTGTTCCCTTTTCCCCATGTCTGTTGCCGTTGATTGTGTGCACCTGGTGTCCTGTGTTGTCTCCTCCCCCCTCACCTGTGTCCTGTTGGGTTGATTGGGTTGGGCATTTAGGCTCTGGGGTTTTGCTGTTTGGGAGTGTTTTTGAGATCCTTGTGGCTGTAGGATGGGTGCAAGGTGAACAGCAGGATTGAGGCTGTGAACTTTGGGCCCAGGATTTTAATAAATGCCCACGTCGGGTTATATTTTTGGACGTTCTGCCTCTGCCTCCTTGCTTGGTCTGGGCAGCTCAACGGTCAGCTTCACAATGACTGATTTTAAATGCCATTTTCTTAATGTCTTTCAGTAAAGCACTTTGAATTGCCTTGTGTTGAAAAGTGCTATATAAATAAACTTGCCTTGCCTTGCTGATTACTACCGAATATCCGGAGCCCGAAAAATTCAAACCAGAATAGTTTTCCTTTGTTAATCTACGTGAAGTTTTTTCAGTATTCTGCGGAAAGACTATATCTGTTTCTTTTATTGGTCCTCTTGTTACTAGTGCACACTTTTCACTATCATTTAGGACATTTGGCCATTGTGCAGGGTCGTCTGATGTGATCAAACCTTTTGTAGTCGTGGTAGTGCTGCTGGAGGTAGGGGTTGACGTGTCATCTTCATGATGAGAAGATGTTGCTGCCCCACTGGAGGCAGATGTTGACGCCTCACTGGAGGCAGATGTTGCTGCCTCACTGGAGGCAGATGTTGACGCCCCACTCAAGGTAGATATTGACGCCTCACTGGAGGCAGATGTTGACATCCCACGGGAGGCAGATGTTGATGCCCCACTCAAGGTAGATATTGACGCCCCACTGGAGGTAGATGTTGACTGAACTGCTATGACCAAAAAAGAAACAGGGAATATCATGTTACAAGGAATCTTTGGAGTGTAATGCACAGTATAATCAATTAAAAGTGGAATACTTAACTTACCATCATCAGCATTTGGAGGGGGCACCTTATCCTTTTCCGTTGCTGCTGCTGGTGCCAGAAACTTAAGACAGGATCCTGAGGATAGATAATAAAGTGAAACTTATAACAGTAACATGTAAACAATTCAAAATGCTTTCACTTTATATAATTCAAATTCCTCATATTGAGCTTTCGAATGTTGTTCTTGGGGATAGCTTCCACAATTGTTTACTATTTGCATTTCATTTAAAAGGGACAATGTAAGGGAAAATGGTTCCAATACAGAGGATTGTGCTGGAGCCTGCACTATGGTTGAAATATACAGTTTTCAGTATCATCATAAAACAACTAGGAGTACACTACAGAGAAGGAAAATATAATAAAATACACTCAACACATAGCACACTAACTTAACAATAATTTATTTAGAGCAGGGTTGCCAACTCTCACGTATCTGGCATGTGACACACGCTTTCACTCTCAATCTCACGCTCTCACGCTGCCCAAACTATTCTCACGCCAAAAACAAGAATACCGAAGACTAGAAACGGTTTTGAAAACTTTTGACACGTAGTGATCGTCTTCTCAATAGAACATCTTTGATAATGTCTTCTGGCCAATCAGAATCAAGATAACGGTGTGTGTGTGTGTCACGGCCCGTCCACACAGCGGCGTGCGTTGAAGCTTCCAACGCTTCTGCCCATTCACTTTGAATAGGGTGACGTCACTTTTAGCCGAACTGCATTTTGGGAAGCGACGTGGAGCGTTGCTGGCGTTGCTCGCTTCAAAAGTTGAGCAATGTTCAACTTTTGGCGCCTCGGCAGAAGCGTCAGCCAATGAAGTCCCGTTTATGCAAATCTGCCAGTACAAGCGCTAGCCAATCAAACCGCGTGTATGCTGGGAGAGACTACGCAGGTCATTTCCTCATATTTCAAAAAATGGAGGGAAAATTCATTATAGCGTTAGTGAATCAGCCGGTGCTGTATGATCAGTCTCTGTTCATCTACCGGGATACAAACCGGAGGAGCGAGGCATGGAGGGAGGAGGCAGAGACAGTGGGTGAAACTGGTAGGTTTTCGCCTGTTTGGGGATTTTATATCCAGTTTACTTCATTTTAACATTGCTATTGCTTTGTATGTCGGGGGCGGGAGATTCATGTGATTGGTTGATGGTCGTGTTGCTCGCAAAAAATCCCCAAGCTTCAGACACGCCCACCGCCAAGCGTCAACGCACGCTGCTGTGTGGACGCTCCGTAATGGCGCATTTCCACTGCAGGAAAGATAAAAAATTCAAACTACCATAGACGCATTTGTTTGTCTTTTTGCATGTTAGAAACGAGTTGGCGACACTAAGACTGCAAGATAATGTTTGTGTAGCAATAATACATGACCTTTCTCTTTCTCAACTCGCTACTCGGAGGGAAGTCGCTGTCATATGCCTTGTGAACACTCCGATAATGCCTCTCCACGTTACCTTTCTTTGGCAGAGCGACGCTTGCTTTACAATAATGGGGCCCCCACTATTGTAGATTAACTGAATTTGATGAAGGCTTACAGTATGGCTCGAGGTAACAAAGGCATTAATTACCGTTTCTAGGTCTTTAAAAGATAAAAACGACTTGGTATTGGCCAGTAGTCCTATTTTAAAAAAGCAGATCTTGACTACGGTGCTGACCTGCTTATCAAATTTTAAAGCGCTATTGAAGGTCACTCCGAGGTTCATTACAGAGGGGATAATGCTTCTACAGTATTAAGGGATCCCAGAATATCAACCGAATATTTCCTGCTTTTTTACACATATTCTCTCCAGTACAGCGTTAGCTCTGATAGTTAGCGATGCTTGCTAATGTAAACACAGACCATATTACTTCAAAACGTAGGCTACCGGGTCCAAAATCAAATTAGAATAACAAAAGAACACATTCAAAAGAAAAGGAGCCTTTCAAGAATACATGTGTACTGTGTGACACATTGTTATTGTTCTTTTGTATCCGCTAATGTTTATTTCCATGCTTTGATCTGAAAAAAAAAATTCTAAGAATTCCAATTGTCATTTGGATGGTGAAAGCAGGATTGACATTTGCAGGGGTCATGGAAGACATTACTGATAGCAACTTTTTTGATTTCTCCTTTCTGTAATCCCTTTTAGAGAGCTTCTTGTTTACAGCTAACAAACTCATCTTGCTTTCCCCTAGATATAGATTAATGAGGTGACTGCAGGTTGCTCCCAATTCTTCATCTTTAATAGTTCATTATTCTTCTCGTTCTATCTCTTTCAACACTTGTGCCTTCATCTTAGATTTAACCTTTAAACAGGCACTCCTGCTGATGTTGCTTTGCACTGTCACAGCACCTCTTCAGTGCTTTCTCATTGTAAGATGTGCAGTATATAAAAGTGTTTGCATTAGGCATTTTGCGACCTTTACAAGTAATGTAACCCTTCTCTTGCTCTGAGCTTGCCATTCACAAACTGCTGTGCAGTGAGGTTTTTCTTATCATTGTCTCAAGCCTTGTGTAACTTCAGAAAAAAAGGGTTCTAGGAACTTCTAAAATATATCTTGCAGTTGTAGTGAACTTTTTAAAATTCCATTCAGCTTTTAACAGTTAACTGGGGAGTCCTCTGGACACTGTGGAGGTGGTGGGAGACAGGAGAATGGCAGCCAAGCTGTCCTCCCTGCTGGGCAATGTGTCCCACCCCCCCCAGGACACCCTGTCCTCACTGTGCAGCTCCTTCAGCGATAGGCTGCTGCATCCCCGCTGTCTCACGGAGAGATACTGCAGGTCTTTCCATCCTGCAGCGGTTAGACTATACAACCAGCACAGCCCCTAGTTGACCCCCCCCCCCCCACACACACACACACACACACCACACATATATCACCCCTTGCTGCTACATACCAACAAACTATGTGCAATATGTGCAATATATGAATGCCGTTAATAACTGTGTAATATACCTGGCTGCTAAATCCTTAGAACTGTTACAAGGTGTGTATTTTGTCAATTGTGTAACTTGCTGCTGTTAAATACCAACCACCTGTCAATGTGGGGGCGGGGGCTTTTATACGCGAGTAGTGAAAACACTTCCGCGTAGTCTGCTCTCGTGTATCCTCTCTTTCGTCACCTCTGGAAGCCTCCTCCCTCACCCCTCCTCGACTCCTCCGTGTGCATTTCAGCGATTGGGACGTCCTTCAACATGGCGTGTCTTGATCGATTTCCGGGTCAAGTCCCGGAGGAGGGGGAGAGAGGAGTCGAGGAGGGATATTGAGATGAACCTCCAGTGTCTGATGTTCCTGTCTTACCTGACCTCAGTGTCGGCGTCCTGCTGTGCCACGACAAACCTTAAAGAAACTCATCTGCTGTGTGTCTGTTCAGGGCATGATGCCACATCACTCTCCTCACATCTTCAGTCCACAAACACTTTCTCCAGGCATCCTGACCACGGCTACTGGAATTATTATCAGAGTGCTGCTTCAGTTGTTGCTTTTTCATTGCATCAGTGTCTGTATTTTGGGTTCATGTTCATCAGAGTGTGTTCATGGATCAAAGCGTGTGCATGTGTCTGTGAGCACATGTGCATGTGTGTTTTCTTGTTATTTGTTTTGTAAGTGTTTGTGTGATTTTTTGAAGAAAAACATTCATGTTTGATAAAAAGGGATGTTGATAACATGGGGACATCTCTAACATGTTTAAACTCCTTTAACTTTGACAACTTTATCATCTCTGGTGATGCCTTGCTGCCTCTTTTGAGCACTTGCTGTAGTACAGCATATGTGGATGCCGTTTACAGTGACCCAATAAAGGGGGAAAACATGATAATTTAGAGAAAGCGCTGTGTAGTGTCCTCGTGGATTCCCTCCCAGTGCAGAACATGTAAAGCTGTTCCTTAATGGGTTTCCGTAAAAGGAACAAAAACATGATGCAGAGGCCTCTTGGTACACCCTTCCAGATGAGGAAATGTGACGTGTAAGTGGCCATAGGGTGCCTTCCATTGGATACAAATGATAGCAGTGGGACCTTTTAAAACGGATAAAGTAAGATGCAGGGTCTTAAGTGGGCATTCTAGTAGAGAAAACATGATGCAGAGCACTAGTGGGTGACCTTTAAATTAAGAAAGTGGGGTGCAGGACCCTCTCTGATACCTTCTAGTGGAGAACACATGATGCAGTGCACTATTAGGTGCCCCTGAAGGAAGAAAAAAGTAATGAGTCTTCTCTGCAAAGTTTCCAGTGGAGAACATGTGATGGCCTTCCCGGTTAGAAAACAGAATTCAGTGTGACATACAGTAGGCTGCCCCACCTGCTAGAAAATGTTCAGCACACTGAGAAAATGCAGTTGGCCCACAACATTCAAATACTGCCATTTTTATATTTGTTGTCATCTTATCAACCTTCACAGACGAAATATACGTTATTTTGGGGTTTTTTCTTTCATTCTGTGTCACTTCAGGGTATAAAATGATATTAGCATTTTAGAAATGTTTGTTTTGGTAATATTGGTAATTGTGAATGATATAGCATTTATGTATGTCAGTTGATTCAATTATTTATATAGTTGTGGAAGAGTCATTCTGTGTCTTCAACAAAAGAGACGATTCAAATGTGTGAGGTTTTGCATTAACTCATGGAAGCAGTCATGTATCATGTACGACAACATTCCCAGATGCCTTAGAAACCTCATTTATTTTTGTGAGAATAAATCTCTGAAACACCTTAAAGGGCCTACAAACACCTTCTCCATCTTCGTTGAATAGTCACACCACTGATGAGAAAAAGGTACTTCAGGAAACTCATTGCCATTTATTTGATTCCATCCCCAACCTGACGCCCACCACTGATGCCACTATAACCATTTCAACAAGATTCTGTCTGTGGATAAGCCAGGTTGTGCCCTGAAATATAATCACTAAGATGTACAGCAATCACAGCATTATTACCTGAGAAAGAAAGTGAGAAGAAGGTACTGTAGGAAAGGAGAAGAAAAAGCATCGAGAGTCTGTTAAGGGAATAGGGAAAAGGCATACATAAAATGATAAGTTTACGTGACAGCTTGAGAAGTGCAAGATTCAGAAGTAGCATCTACCAGATAGGACATTCC